TATTAACTTTTCTAGTATTAAGCTTTAAATTTTGATAAAATTCGGCAAAATTTATTTAATGCTTAAAAAAATTTTTTCAGTTATTGGCCGATTAATGCTGACAACCACGTGAAATTAAACCAATAAACGGATTTTAACAATGATGTACTTTCGCCAGCCAGTATTTTTTTTTTATTTTTTCCTAAAAAAAAAAGTAATAAACATGTCTTATGTTGAAATCAAAGGTGCACGAATAGGACTTTTTTGTTATTTTCGAGGAGGAAACAATAGTAGACCTTTCGACGTAATTATAGGAAAGGATAATTATATTTCTGAATTTAAGAAGGTTATAAAAAAAGAGAAACCGAATGACTTGGCAACTATTGATTCTGATAAACTCACGCTTTAGAAACCTAAATTTCCAGTTCCAAGTAATCGAATTAAAGATATTAATAATCTTAGAGAATATGAAGTAAGTTTATTGGATGAAATGCAAAAGGTTGCACAGTACTGGAATGAAGATGAGAGACCACTTATTCACGTTATAGTAGTAACCCCGTAACTGGTAAGAGAAAGTCAAGTCGAAATGAATTTAATCAAGATAACGAAAAAATAACATTTTATTATTACTATTTTGGTTACTAGCCGCTCGTCAAAATATTTCCGTAGAGAAACTTACAAATACATTTGAGAACATGGTATGCATTTATTATATGGTGTTTATTTTCTTAACGTAACGCTATATTCACAAAATTCATTTTAGAACATATCGGGTAGTCCTGGCAATTCGAGCGTGTCACCTCCTTTTCTTTCAGAATTTTTGAAAGTTGTAAGGGAAAACTCGGAAATTACGAAAAAAAACTAAGAGGTCGTGAAAAAAGATTCGGAATCGCTTGATTATAAATTAAATGAGTTTATGAAAAACTTTGTTCTTAACCAGAATCAGCATGAGTCAGGTATGAATTTATCAAATGCAAAGCTCCCACTTTCTATCAATCTAACATTATATACATTTCAGGCTCTAAAACGCGTACAAGATCTTATAAAAGCATCGCTTTTGAGAGGGTTGATCAGGAATACTATCTAAGTAGGACAAACTCTTATCTAGATGATTCTCAAGAAATGGCTCAGTAAATACCTTCCTTCAAAATTATCATGTACCAACCACCACAGAAGATGAAGTTCAAGATTGGTTTAATCGAATATAGGGAAAACCGGTACGGTACGGTTCGGCTTATCAGTACGGTACGATTTTGCAGATTAGTACTAATTTTCAAATTATAATCGTACCGTACTGATTCTATAATATTATTGGGACCAGTACGGTACGATCATATTTTGTAC